CCAACCCACAGACTGCGAGTGGAGACCGAACATTAAATTTGCTGCCTTTGAGGGGAGCAGTACAGGGGTTTGAATCTGGGGCATTCCCGGTGAACTACAGGCACCCCCACTTTTATTTTTATTTTGAGACAAGGTCTTGCTAAACTACCAGGTTGGGCTTGAACATGTGATTTTCCTAACCCAGCTTCACAGAGTGCTGGAAATTTTGGTATACTTTGTTATGCAGCTGTAGATAAGTAACATATGAGGTCTCTGTTGTTTGGTGGGTGTGATAACCAATTAGCATTGCCATGTGTGAAGGGCTGGGGAGTGTGGAGAGGCACATCGCCTTTTTCCTTCTCTCTTCCAGAATCCAAGGTTGCCAGGCATGATGGCACATGCTGTAATCCCAGCCCAGACTGAGGTGGGAGAATCACCATAAGTTGGAGACCAGCTGAGGCTACATAGTAAGACCTTGTCTCAAAACACCAAAGGAAGAGAGAGAGAGAGACTATTCAGGGTTGGCCTAGGTTCTACATGAATATTGAGGCCTAGAAAAAGAAGTTATTCTACAGAGAAATTTGTTTCAGTCTCCCCCAAAGTAACTAAAACAGACTTGGTGGCACACGCCCATAATCTCAGCACCCTGGGAGGCAGAGGCAGGAGGATTGCAAGTTCAAGCCCAGACTGAGCAATTTAGCAGCTGAGCAAGTCTCTGTCTTAAAATTTGTAAAAAAAGTGTTGGGGATATAGCTCAGTGCAAAAGACCTTGGTTCAATCTCCAGTACCACACACAAACCCAGCCCAATTCAATCCAAAAATTTAACCAAGTGCAAGAGGTTTCTTGACCCGTATTTCCGAGTCCACATTCCATGGGTCTTGAACTTATCTGAGAGTCCCGCCCAGAAATGTCCCCCACGCCCGCATACCTCTGAATAGTTACTTCTGCTGTCCTTCAGTCCTAAAACCCCACGAAAGGAGGGCGCAGATGAGTGTACAGGATGTAGGTTTCCTCTAATGCATTGCAAGACCGAACCATGCGCACCCCCAGCAGAACTGCACACCTATTTGCTGGAGTTGGGTTTGTGCCAGGCTTTGTGTTGGACACTGGTGAATAATAGAGACCAATGCTTTCCACTCTGGGTTGTGGTGTCCCCTGGACTTTGTGCCCTCTGTGAGGGCCTCTGTGGCTTTTCTATCCAAACAAATCAGATGATCCCTGATTTAAGGCAAAGACTTGGCCACTTTCCCACTTAGAGGTAGGTGAACATAATCATAAACTTCATGTGTCCTCAGAGAAGGTGTCAGACATAAACTCACCAGACTTCTACTCACCCAGAAATGTCCAAGGATGTTGACCTCGAATGTCTTTGAAATCTCTTCATCCTTGGTACTGAGAAGTTTTGCTGGATATATCGCTCCAGCGTTGTTTACCAGGATGCTTATATCACCCACTTCTTTCTTTACCTTTGAAAATTCAAACAATGCCTTCATTGGGTGTGTTATACAAACTCTAGGTTTTGAGAGTGCTGTCATGAGGGATTTGACTTCTTTATTCTACTTGGTGAGGTCTCATAGTTTAGGCATGAGAGAACTTCCAACTCAAACAGTGGGTGTGTGGGAAAAACTGCCATAAAAATTGCCAGAATTGTTTTGGTAGCACTGGAGATGAAACCCAGGGGCTTACATTTTTTAATGTGTAGATTTCAGGACTTAGTACATCATGAATTTTGAAAGCTTATCAATGATGTAAAATTAATATTTGTGTTGAGTCATTTGTACGAAAATGGATGCACCTTGAAGACGTTAGATGAAATAAATCAGACACAAACTTAACTACTGCATGGTTTTTCTTATATGAGAACCCCAAAATATTAAAAAGTCCAAAATAAGAGACAGAGAACAGGGGAAAAAAGACAGAGAGAAAGAAAAGGTGATTTTAGTCCAGCATGGCCAAGGAATCTAACAGTGTGCCTTGATTTAGTATAAATATTTTAGGTATTTTATGTTTTTTGGCTTTTAGTCTACACATTAATCTGTGTTTATGATAATTAACTTGATAAAGACATAAATAAATCAACCTGATGCTGGCAAAGCCAAAAACTAAAAACAAAAACAAGGGTGGAGGGGAAGGTGAAAAAAAGAATTGAGATGTATTATGTACATGTACTAGTTCCTCTTGAAGAATGCAAACGTTATGTACTGCAGATAGGTAGTAATAAAAGGTTGTGTTGCTGAATTGATATGTAAGTTGTGAACAAATTGTTTTATTTATTTTTTTCAGCTTTAATTGAGTTTATTGGTACATTTTAGGGATACAATACAGTTACATTCATTGTTGGGATCTTGTACCTCTACATGACAAGTCTTGGTTCTCAGTTTTTCCCCTTGTCCCTGTCCTCCCTTCACCCCCTCCTCCCCTCCCCATCTACAACCACTTTATTTCTATCTTTTCATTATCTCACATTTTTTTCTTTTCCCTTTTCACCCTTCCCCTACCCATCCCACCTTCCCTACAGCTGTGGCTCCTTTCTTCCCATTTCTAAATGTCAGTAATCTTATTAGGATCTGTATTATTGCAGATTATTCACACCAGAGAAACTATTCGGTATTTACACATGTGTGCCTTATCCAAATGGTTTTAAAATGTTGATTGAGTCATCCTGACTTCACTACATGCAAACTACATGAACTTTGTCTGGCTTAACCTTTCTGAGTCTTAACTTGTTTACCTATAAAGTGAAGTTAATAGAATCGCTGAATTAAGTTGAAGAATGCAATAGTATATTAGAGTGCTTGACTGTGTGAGTACTTGATGTTTACTCTTTCAAGTTGTTCTAATAATTATTAATACCACACTTTCTGTAGAAGATTAGATGAACATCAAAATAAATGAAACTTCACAAAGGAAGGAATTAAAGGGAAAGAAACGATGAAAAAGTAATAGGACGAAAAATGTAGTACGTAAGCCATTTTCCCCGATGATAAATATTTTGCCAGCCACTCTGGGGCACCGCTTAAATCTCCAATCAGAATAACACTGATTCATAACAAAGTACAAATAACGGGCAGAGCTGAGTAGATCACGTACAAAGGAAAAGGTACATGAATGCTTCGAGCACATCACTATTTCACTGAGCGGCGGAAGTCTACCTAAAAGCTGGGGGTTAGGTGTCTGTTCGTGTTCTCAGTGAGTGGCGGTAGCTACAGAGCCATCGGAGGAAACTGGCGACAGGAAGTCTCACCTGGGTCACCGAGCTGTAGATCTCCTCCCTGTTGCTGCAGTCCACCTTGTAGGCGTGCACGGTGGCCCCGAGCTTCCGGCATTCCCCCGCTGTTTCCTCAACACCTTGCTGCCATTGGGAAAACCAGATTTCAGGAAAGAGTGGAGGAGAAAACACTGGCAAAGTAATTTTTCTAAAGATGTCTAAAATGCCTCCTTATGTGTAAGGACATTTCTTTAGAGTAACTACTTGCCTCATTTGCAATTGGATTGTACTCAACTTTTCTGCCAGGGGATGCTCCGATGAGCACAAAAGAAAGAGCAAAGAAAACTCCTCTCTGCTTTTCCAGTGTTTGACCTTGGCCTGGAGGTTCCCTAGGAGGCAGTTTCTCAAAGGCAGGTTACTTTTGTGGACTGAGGAGGATGTGGCTCTTTAAGGTGTGTTGGAAAGCTGTGTTTGAGTATGAAGGAAAGAAGTTTCAACGACTCATTTGACACACATTTGTCAAGCACTAACTAGGTAATAGGCCGTAGAGTGCTGAGCAGCAATTTAAAAAATTTTTTAAAGACAGGGTCTCAACGTGTAGCCCAGACTGGCCTTGAACTCACAGTCCTCCTGCCTCAGCCTCCTGAGTACTACAATTACAGGTGTATGGCTCCAAGCATGACTTACAATTGTAAACTATATAGTCTGCTCTTCATGCTTTTCTTGAGTATTCTGATATATCCCTCTGACAAGGAAAGGGGAAGAGGTGTCCTCATATGGGAGACACATGCATAGGGAGACCAAGTGTCCACCCAGGAGAAAACATTGTGTTGCTCTGGTGGTTTGTAGTGAAATGGGCCAAGGCTGCCGGATGGACTCTCATTTAGGGGACAATCTTGCCTTGAAATCTAGGACATGGAGACAAAGCAACTTATTTTTCAACCTAAATTCCAAGACCTTTTTTCTAAGACAAAATTGCCCTAATGCTTCTCAATGTGCATTTCTGGAAGATGAGAATTCTTTTCAAGTTTTGATATATGGCAAATTTTATAATAAGTTTTTTTGTTTGTTTGGTACCGGGGATCGATCTCTGGTCCTTGTGCTTGCTAGGCAGGTGGTGGAAGCACTGAGCTAAATCCCCGGCCCTATAATAAGGTTTTGATTGGGTCGTTTCCTTTACGGTTTGTAAATTCTATGGTGAAGAAGAGGGGATACCTAATGTTCTGAGATGGCAGAGGGGCTGCTGGAATTTGGATGCTGGAACATTGGCTGGAGTTTTCCTTGGCCAGCACTGCTTCCCCGGGCCTCTGTATTGCCCTGCTGGGGACCAAGCCCCGGTGCAGTCTCCTGAAATCCCATGAACGAACTTTAACAGAGATCAAGGCCCTGGGAACAAAGCCAGTGCCCTCCAATTAACCTCGTTAGGGTTGAAAGAGTGGAAGGAGAGGCAAGAGGGTCTTTCCCTGACTGGCTCCAGCTGGTCGCTGGCTGACCCTGCCAAACTGCAGGAACCCCTGCTACCCTTACCTTGTGTTTTCGATCTGATTTAGATTTGAGAGAGCATTAGCAAGCAGAGCTCTCATCACTTGCTTTGACTGAAGAATCAAAACTTCTCCAGTTCTTTTACTGAGCTAGTGCACAGCGCCATGTTATGCCTTGCTACCTTGTAAGTGAAATGCTGGCTTTAGCTTCAACTCCAGGGGACACTGTTGGGTTCACTTGCTACTGGGTCCCTAAAGCAGCAGTTGAGACCTAGTGAGGGGGAACTGCTGATGTGTCTTGGAAAGAGAAAGGAGTTAGTGAGGATGAAGAGCCAGTTGGAACCGTCCTGGACCAAGGGAAGTCAGTTTACAGCCTTAGAGTGAGTCTTTTAATATATGGAATATTTAGCCATAACACTGAAGGATTCAAAGAGAAGTTGGATTTGGAAGTCGGAGGTAGGAACTTAATTCATTTTAAATCTGATTTCTTTCAAATTTTACTTTTCTCATTTCACTGAAAACTTTAAAAATAAGAAATATAATAAATATGGTCCTGTCCCCAAAAAGGCACCTCTGGGAAGAGATTCAAAGATTAGATTTCATCTGGGCTTTCTCATAGATTTATACCTCTTGATATTTTTGGATAATTACCCTAAAATACCAGACAAGAATTTTCCCCATTTGTAAAGTTTAATCCTCCTCTAAAAATTCTTGCCCTCTTTTCAGATTCACTGGGAGGACCAAACTTATGCCAGATTATTTCCTGATCAACATGTCTCTTTCCTAACTGCCTAGCTCTGTTCATAGTACCAACTTTTTCTTGAGTAGCAGTATTCTTCACTATCCAGAAAGAACCCCAAAAAATGAATTCCTCAAGTTTGACAGTCACTTTTGATTTTTTTTTTTTTTTGAGACAGGGTCTCACTATGTAGTCGAGACTGAACTGGAACTCACTATGTAGCCCAGGCTGGTCTCAAACTCATAGTGATCCTCCTGCCTCAGCTTCCTGAGAGCTGGGATTAAAGGCATTCCCCACCAAGCCCAGCTGAGAGACCCTTTTGAAGTCCCTGGAAAAACTAGTGTCAACTACACATGGTAGCAAGGGTCTCAGGAAAGTAATACTGTGAAGGCAATTAAAATTTTGCTATGATTTCTGAAAATTTTGATTCCCATAAAACTTTGCAATATTTCCAATTCTTAAAATCCTATAAACATTTTTATGTCTATTTTTATGGTCCCACTAGAATTTATAAGTTTGGGGGAAATAGCCTAAGATCTCAGTTGATCAGATTCATTTTGGTTAATTATTTACAGACAAGAGTACAAGAAAAATACAAATGCCCAAGGGAAAGCCTGACCCTGCATGCAGATTTTAACACAATTAATGTTTACCCCATGCCAGGTGTGATTTCAGGCACTGAAGATATTCACTATTTCATCTTCTTACCCAGAAGTTGGCAAACATTTTGTACAAAGAGCCACATAGCAAATATTTCAAGATTATATGTGAGGAAGGTACTAAGGATTCCTGTCTCATGCTTTGTTTCTGTGGTTTTGGTTTTGACAACCACTTAAAAACCACTCTTAGCTGACCAGGCTATCCATTGGCTGGATTTGGCCCTTATCTACAACTTATTGTAGTCCATGCAAACCCTGGAGGCATCACCCCATTTCAGAGATAAGAAAATTGAAGCTGAGACGAATTTGTGTGTCTTGTCTGATCAAGCAGCTTGCAAGGAGCCTGGCTCTTCATCTTTCCTTATAAACCTGCACACAAGGTCATGAAAACCACCATTCCATCTCAGGTAGGTGCCCTTCCTCTAGCTCACCTGATGTATATGTTAATAAGACTCTAGAGACTCAAACTTTGAAAAAAGGACATGCAAAGATAAGCAGAGGCTGAATCAAGTGATTTAAAAGCTGTGTGTGTACGTTGTGACTCAACAGGTTGACAGATACTCACATTACCTTATTAATATCCCACAGGACCAGCCTGCTCTTCCGTTTTGCGAATTCATAGGCGGTCAGCCTGCCGATTCCATGCCCAGCTCCAGTGATGAGGACTATCTCCCCAGCTACAGACTTCCTCCTCCGGGGAATGAAGAACTTCAACAAAGACTCCAGGTAGGAGTAGCTGATGATGAACAGAAGTGCAAGGAGGTCCAAGATGATGTTCATGGTGCTGCTGTCCTGTCCTCCAGCTCCGTCCTATGCAGTCCTAGGGCAGGGATGGTTCTGCCTGGGCTCCAGGAGGAGCTGCGCACTTAGGTGCTAATGGGGAGGCAGAGGTGGCGCTGGGTTGGCTGCGTTCTGAAGGGTCATACACACACTCCTGGCTTTTGAAGTGGCGTCAGTTGCTGGTGAATGCTTAGCATAGATAAAGGAAGCCCCAAAAGAACATGCACTTTGGACCTGCTTATCTGAAAAGCAGTTGTGTACTGTGTTTCACCATGAAATCTCACCTCTAAAAATACCAAGCGTATCTGCTGTATTGCATCAGCTAATGGCCTGGTTGGTATCTTTTCCTTGTTTGTCTTCCTTCCTTCCCTCTTTCCTACTTTCTTCCTTTCTTTTTGCATGATATAAGGATGGAATCTAGGGGTCTTGTGTGAGCTATATAAAATCTCTGCCATTGATCCACTTCCCCAGCTCTTTTCATTTTATTTTGAGACAGCATCTCATCAAGTTGCCCAGGTTACACTTGAACCAGTGATCCACCTGCCTCAGCCTCCTGAGCATCTGAGAATACCATTTGTTAGTATCTTTCTGTGTCTCTCTGTGTGTGTGAGTGTTTCTTTTTTATGGAGGAAACAGGAGAAAGTAGAGATATCAACTTAAAGAAACTTAACATATGGATCAACAGAGCTTAGCTATCTCTCTATTTAATTGAGAAAATTTGGCATCTATACTGTTGCTAACTGTGTTACATGTGACTCTCAGTCATCTGAAAACCTTCTGCATTCAAAGGAGATTTTAGATTCTGCAAAACAATTGATTCCCATTGTGATAATACTGGAAAGAGAATTAGACCAGCAGTCAAAAGTCTCAGCTCAAAAGTAGTGACTTCTGGACACAAAAACAAACCCAGATGTACTCAGCTACCTCATTTTTGACAAAGAAGCTGACCATCCTCAGTGGAGGAAAGATAGCCTCTTTAATAAATAGTGTTGGAAAAATTGGATTTCAACCTGCCACAGATTAAAACTAGACCCTAATCTTTCACCATGCACTAAATTAAAATCCAAATCGATTAAAGATCTAAATATTAAGACAGAAACATTAAACTTGCTGGAAGGTAAGTTAGGCAGAACCCTAGAAGACATTGGCATAGGAAAAGACTTTATGAACAAATCCTCAGTAGCATGGGAACTAGAAGATAGAATCAACAACTGGGATCTCATCTTATTAAAGAGCTTCTGTACTTCAAAAGAAACCATCAGCAGAACTAAGAGACAATCTACAATGTGGGAAAAAATTTTTACCAGCTGTTCCTCAGACAAAGGACTATTATCATGAATATATAAAGAACTCAAAACAATCAGCCCCCCCAAATATAAAGACCCAGTTCAAAAATGGGCATCTGAAATGAACAGACATTTCTCAGACAAAGAAGTAAAAGCATCAAATATATGAAAAAATGTTCCACATCACTGATCATTTGAGAGATGCAGATGAAAACAACACTGAGATTCCACCTCACCCCATGAAGAATGGCTGCTATCAAGAAATCACACAATAACAAATGTTGGTGGGGTTGTGGGGAGAAAGGAACCCTTCTCCATTGTTGGTGGGAGTGCAGACTGGTACAACCACTATGGAAATCAATATGGAGATACCTCAAAGAGCTTGGACTGGAGGTTCCATTTGACCTAGCCATCCCTCTGCTGGGTATCTTTCCAAAAGAACTAAAAGAATCATATCACAGAGAAGTATGCGTACCCATGTTTATAGCGGCACAGTTTGTAATAGCTAAAACTTGGAAACAGCCCATTTGCCCATCCATTGGAAACTGGATAAAGATGTGGTTTTTCTATAAAATGGAATATTACTCAACCATAAAGAATGAGAAAATAGATTCATTCATAGGAAAATGGATACATATTGAAGATATACTCCTAAGTGAAATAAATAAGGCACACATGTGTAAATACCGAATAGTCTCTCTAGTGTGAATAATCTGCAATAATACAGAACATCCTAATAAGATTACTGACATTTAGAAATGGGAAGAAAGGAGCTAAAGGTGTAGGGAAGGTGGGATGGGTAGGGGAAGGGTAATAAGGGAAAAGAAAAAAATGTGAGATAATGAAAAGGCGGAAACAAAGTGTTTGTAGATGTGGAGGGGAAGAGGGGGTAAAGGGAGGGTAGGGACAAGGGGAAAAACTGAGAACCAAGACTTGTCATGTAGAGGTACAAGATCCCAACAATGAATGTAACTGTACTGTATCCCTAAAATGTACCAATAAACTCAATTAAAGCTGAAAAAAATATTTTAAAAAAGTAGTGACTTCTGTCTCAGTACCAGCTAATGTAACTGCTGTCGGCCACGTGGCTTATAAACAATAGATATCTATTTCTCCTGGTTTTGGAGGCTGCAAAGTCCAAGACCAATGCCCCAGCTTGGCATAGACTGCATCTGATGAGGTCCGGCTTCCTGGTTTCTGGACAGCTGGCTTTTCACATTGCCTCACTGGCCGAAGAAGGGATACAATGCTGCAGGGCTTTGCTGAGGATTCATCCCATGGCAGGTCCCTGGTGACCTACACACCTCCCAGAAACCCTAAGTCTAAAGCTATCACACTGAGGGCTAGGAGTTCATCGCATGAATTTGGGGGAACACATTCAGGCTATAGCAGCTTCCTGAAGCCAGGATGGACACAGCCCTTGTGATGCCTGGGGCGAGCCCTGCACACTGGAACAAAATGCTACTGAGCCCCAGGGTCAGGAGGGATGAGTTGGAGAATTCAACCCTGCTACACCACACTGCGGTGGGAAGCACACATCTGGCCTTTGGTTTGGACCTTGACTGTTATCTATTAAAAATGAGTTCTTCACTACCTCATTCTGCATGCAGGCTTGCAGAGATATTTATATGGAGCTGTTAAGTATTAACACAGGTGGTTTAGAGGAGTCCTCATGTGAGGCTGCAATGCAGGGATTTTTCCAGGCTGAATGTGTGTGACTACAAACAGAGCTGAGGACTAGCACCGAGGTCACACGCTGTTGAGAGACTTGTGAAAATCAGCTTTAATGTCTACGGTAGGACCTAGATTATTATACTTCCAGGAATTTGAATTATCCAAGAATTAAGAAAAAGTGAAAGAGTTAATGTTCTCAAATAGTGTGGATGGGGGAAACGTTGAGCCTATGAGATAACCTGGTAAACTATCTTTTTTATATGTTTTCTAGGGGTCAGAATCTTCATGTCGTTCCAATACTGGATTCTGCTTGCTTCAGTAATGCTAGAAACACACAATCTGCCCTAGTTTTCCCAATTTTTGAAGTTTTTGGTATGTACATCTTTGTGACATTACTAGGTTCACTGCAAAATATTTTCATAAGTAAAATTTTTCTGATAAACAAGTTTCATGGCAGGCGCAGTACCACTGAGTTAAATCCCCAGCCCAATGTTTTAAATTAAGTTGCTTTCTTCTGATAGGAATGAAGTACCTTGGCTTTGTCATTAACTTTCTTTGTATCACACAATAGTATGAATTGCTCTCAGTAAAATTTTCTCAACTAAATTAATATCGGCTATGGTGTTTAGAACCTTATTGAACTGAAAGCCTTTCTGAACTGTGCCTGCTGTTTTCTTTTCCCACTGAAATGCCCTCTGGCCATCCCCGGTGGAGATTTCAAGAAGGTAACTGGGAGTATGTCTGGAGTTTAGAGGAGGGACCCAGACTAGGAAGAAAAATGTGGAAAGAGTGACTGATATTAAATTTGTGATACGGAATCACCAAATCAATGGTAATTGATGTTGAATTTAATGTTAAGTTTATGTTAAAAAACAGATCTAGTCATAATTTTGGCGAGGTGAGAAGAAAGAAGATAGGTATAATAGGCATTCAGCTTTGGTGCTTGCTGGAAGTACAGTTCTCCACAGGGAACACAGACATAGCAGGGAAAATCCTGGGCACTTTTTTTTTTTCCCCATCAAAGAATGCTTTATTTACAAGAAGCTTAGAAGTAAAGTACATGCTCTAGAGCTTCTCAGAGTTTTCCACTTCAGAACTTTAGGAGGCAGGGAGCAGAGCTGGCTTCAAGGACTAACCCAGGCCTTCACACAGAGCCCTGAATTCACTCTGCTTTTGCTATCCCGAGATCCTAAATTACACTGGGCCCATGCATTACGTAGGCTGCACTAGCAGGGATAATATATTTTTCCTGAGGACAAGAACTGCATTATGAGTTTAGTTTTCCTGTGGCTTCTTGTTGCTTCTTGGAATCTGGAATCTGAGTCTGAAAGCAAGTGCTGTAACTTAAGAGTTGGAGAGATAGCAAAGAAAGACACAGACACTGCCCAGCATATACTTCTATTAAAATAATGACCCATTGTTGACCTAAATTGCAAGTTCAGCTGGGCATTCTGCATTGCATTTGGCAACTCTCCGTTAAATTCCAAGGAAATCTTGGGAAGATGAAAGTAGAAAGTGTTGAGAGCAATAAACCAACTCTGATGATCCCATTGATGTTGCATGACAGCAAAGTCACAAGTGTGGATTCAAATCTCCAGTTTAACTTCTCTAGGCTATAGTTATCTCATCTACAAAATGGGGATACTGATGTCTACACCAAAGAATACATCCATCACCTAACCCAGAGAGGAGGTTCTTAATCATTGTTTCCGTTCTTCATAATGAAATTTTTCAGTCACTTAGTCATTAGCCAAGTTGGTGCTGAAGGCAAAAGTCAATCTGACTCCTTTTTCTTGGTCTGATTCTCCGCTTTCTAATGCTTGTTTCCAATACAGTATTTGATTTCTGGCAATTGAGAATAGTGACCTGGATAAGGGAAGGGGAGGGGTTTTTGTTGTTCTGTTTCTTGAGACAGGGCTCACCTAGGGCCTTGAGCTCCCCATCCTCTGCCCCAGACCCGAGTGCTGGGATTGCAGCTGTGCCCTGTGGGAAGAGTATTTCTGAAGGCAAGCCAGGAGCTTCGCAAATGGGATAGGACCGAGGCTAGGGAGTCCTGGCAGTCCCTGGCAGGGGTAAGGGAGGAAGAACAAGATCTCACTAGCAGGCTCTGTGGCTTATCCAGGGAGGCTAGGTTCCCTACCATAGTCAGGAATCGCGAATTCCACAAAACAAAGAGATATTTGCCATCAAAAGTATCATGAGAGCCAAGGATTTAGCTCAGTGGTGCTATGTCTGCCTCACAAGCACAAAGTCCTGAGTTCAAACCCTGGTATGGGGGAATCATGAGATGTGACAGTGGAAGTCTTTCTCAATTTCCCCAAAGACAGCGTAAGTCTCTGATTTGGGTGTGATGCTCAGAAGTACTTCACTGATGATCGGGATTTTCTCATCAGACTGCTGAGAGGTAGAGTCCAAATTAGTATTAACTTCACCCACACAATATTTAAAAGTTCTCAGACTCTGAGTCACAGGAGTAATTTTTGATGTTGGTAAAACTGAGAAAAAATATATATATATTTAAATGTAGGGAATCAAATTTAGAACTCCCACAGTATCTATCACCACTCCTGCAGACAGGGCTGCCGACTCAAGGCCCCTTTTCTGGCTTCCTGATGTCGTTGCTGTGCCCACCGCGAGCTCCCATCCTTCCACCCGTCCTACCACACGGGACCACCATGAGTCAGTGGCAGACTGTGCCTGGCACATGGTCCACAGTCCACTGTCCACTGATGGATGACTACCAGTCAGCGGGATAATAGCCAAAGAGGAAAGGCCGATGTTCGTCCAAGCATTAATTTCTGACGAGTGTTCTGGGAATTAAAGACATGTTTACTGGGGACACGGGAACACTGTGGGTTCACTTTGGTGTCCACTGAATCCTCTTACTGGAGATTCTTGTAGATCTTCCCCTGGCCCCTTAACTGGCAAGCTGCCACCGGCATAAAACGTGATCAAATGGACGAACCATTAAATCTATTTCAAAGTGACTCAGAAGCTGACTATGTTAGGCTTTTCACTCTCAAGTGTCATTCTCTGGTAACAGGATTGGGGTTTAAGTAAATCTGTAGATTCTGTGGAGGTTCAAGCCTAGAATACTACAAGAGTACCACTGGTGAGTGGACAGGAATCTAAGTCACACTATTTGGACAAAATGTTTTGGAAAGCAAGAATGTTGAAGCAGGTTCAGATTTCTATTAACTGAACTTATAATGCAGCCCACAGTCACTGTATTTTGATTCTGTATATTAGAATAAGGTAAAGAAACAGAAACCGAACATGGAATGTTTTCTGACAAACCTCACAGAATCTATAGCCTAACTTGCCTTAAACAGATTACCATGATTCTTAAAAGTCTTCGGTGAGACTGAAGAAAATTGAGTGAACTAATATTAGTCGGAAGTGTTTAGGCCTTGACACATGTTAAATAAATATTTGTTTCAGCCTGAAATCTGGATACAAATCTGTTCATATGAAGTTTCTGGGCCTAAATGTAACTCAAGTGCTACGTTTGACAGTGGATCCTAACCACCTTTTATGTTTTCTGGATAGAGCTTTCTGACACAAAGATCAAAGGCCTTTACTTCATGTATATGTGTTTAAAGTCATCTTGATATTTTTTCTTTGGTGGAAATGCAACAAACCTACTTACTTTTCAATATGTAGGTCTGATCTTATAACCGCCTCGCTGGGCCCTCATTGTTTACATTTTCTAGATACGAAAAAAAGACCTCTGATTACATAATCGATTTTCTTCTCATTTGAAGGTTAAGCCACGTTCTGTTTAAGACACAAAAGCTGGAAATACCAAAGTTTGAGTTTGGTCCATTTATTTTTGTTGCCATTTGTAAATGCATTCTCCCAGTTCTCTGCCTTACATCCAGTGATGCTTTTATACTTGTAACACGTATCCACCGCTAGTTTCCTTGGGTGAAATATTTGGCGTTGGGTATGAGGTATCGCTCAAGAAACAGTGCCACCGAGTCGGATGAGATGTTTAAGACTCATGAAATTAACTGTGAAATGCTACTCACTGCAGTCCTCTGTTACATTTAAAGAACTTAAAGCTTCTGATTTTACATAGAATATAAAAGGAAATGTAAATTACATACAATTTTAGTGCCATTAAAAATAACATAGCTTCAAGTAAACATTTAGAGCATAAAATTTGCAAATCTTTAGGTGGGCCATAAAGTCTGGAAAATTACTGCTGTGAAATTGTTTTTTATTTGTAAGAATGACTTCTAAGATATTTGCTTGTATTAAGTGAAATTAGTTTCCCACTAATAACAGACGGTAACAGATGAGTACTGTCAGGGTTCCAAAAGGTGATACTGAAGAAGAACAATTGGAAAAACAGAGGTAAAAATATTAAAATTCTGATTACTATTTGATGGAACCTATTTAAGCTTGATAAATCAGTTTTGAAGAAAACCTGATACTTAATGTTCTTTAACTTTATAGCCAACAACTGCATCGAATTTAATATTGATCCTTTGTCTTAAAAGTGCCAGGAAACGCTCAGGAAAGATCCTAGAAGAAAGATGTATAAAAATTAGGAAATAAATATCAAGTGCATTTGTATAATGTCTTCTTTTAAAATGCTTAATACTTTTAAAATATTTATCATGTATCACGCCATTGATTTGAGACAGAATTAGGAACTTTAACTCGGAGTTTCTACTATATATTCTTTCCCATTAAATTCATGTTCATTCCAAAAGGTAAAGGAAGGAGGCTTAATTTTACTTAGGCTAGAAGTGACCTGAATATCTTTTGAAATATAGACCTTTGAAATCAATATACCTCTGTATCTTTCAAAAGATCTAAGAAGAGGATCTGAATAGTTGAGATCCCTACTGAAGAGAAATTTGGCGTTGAAAAGAAAGGGAATCCAGGAGCCAAATGTATACTTTAGAATTCATAAAGTCCTTTAAATATTCTGCTGAAAGATGGAAGAAGCAGCACTGCTCAGTAAAAATGCAAACAGTACCCTTAGTTTTGAGCACAAACCTGAACAAAATAATTGCCCTTTGAACTTAACTTGCTCATGTGGAAATGGAAAAAGTAATGCCTATCTGTAAGTTCCTGAGGCTTCTCGGGAACACATGAAGCTTCTATGGCTAAGAAAATGTTCCACATTGTGACAGCAAAGCCAGGCACAGTGGCACACGCCTGTAACCCCAGCACTTGGGAGGCAGAGGCGGGAGGATCGCTGTGAGTTCGAGACCAGCCTGGGCTACATAGTGAGTTTAAGGCCAGCCCGGACATACATAGTGAGACTCTGTCTCAAAATAAATAAACAAACAAACAAACAAACAAACAAATACATAAATAAGTAAAATAAAAATAAACTCATAGAAGGTCTCATCTTTTTTCTCCCGAATTCTACTTAAGAATACTTGCAAGCTTGTCACATTTCAATGGCACTGAAAAAACACTAAACACACATGTATGTGAGTCACCGAACAGAGATGAGCCAGAAAGCACCGAGACAAGCAGCCCACTGAGCAGAGGGAGGTGAAGGCACTGAGAATGTGACAGTCATCACAGTCATAGCAAGCGGTGCTCTAGACCATGTACGGAGTGATCACAGTAAACCAGGTACTCCGAGTTCATTATTCTCATTCGCCGCTCATCCTGATCAGGCCCGTTTTACAGAGGAGCCGCGAAGTTCAGTGAGCCCATCGGTGTTCATGTAGTGAGCGAGCGCACAGACAGCTTCCACCACCTCCAGAGCACACACCCACTCGTCTACATTAAACGTCTAAGAATTAGGATGGGTTTGTTCAACCAGGGAACATTTTGGTGCCCCTAGGAGTCAGCTAGTCTTCGAGGTGCAGGGGATACAGTGATGAGAAACTGGCACAATTATTTTCTCGGAGGGTCGCCATCCACAGACGGGGCCATCGTCACTGAGTACTTGCTTATGTGATGCGACGCCTATGGTGCCGAAAACGTCACAGGCTTTAACTCTTTTCTCTCCAGGGAGACCCTTGCCCTTTGTTACCAAGGTGCCCAGCCCATCTTTGACCGTGGTCTGCATTTCCAGCAGAGAGACTGGAAAGTCTGACACATGTCGTACTTTAGATCTCTTGAAATTTTCAGTCTTTAGGTTTGTAATTCTCAAAGGATGATCCTGGGGCCAAATGCTGGTGGCACTTACCTGTCATAACGAAGATATCAGTGTCCCAACTCAAAAGTTCTGTATTAAATATGCACACCTATGTTTCTAGCAGCACAGTTTGTAATAGTTAAAACTTGGAAACAGCCCATTTGCCCATCAGTTGGAAACTGGATAAAGAAGGTGTGGTTTTTCTATAAAATGGAATACTACTCAGCCATAAAGAATGAGAAAGTAGATTCATTCATAGGAAAATGGATACATATTGAGGATATACTCCTAAGTGAAATAAATAAGTCACACGTGTAAATACTGAATAGTTTCTCTGGTGTGAAAAACTATAATAGTACATAAGATCCTAATGAGATGATTGACAGTGTGAAATAGGAAGAAAAGGGCTAAAGGTGTAGGGGAAATGGGAATGGTAGGGGAAAGGTAATAAGGGAAAATAAAAAAATATGAGAAAATGGAAATAAAGTGTTTGTAAATGGGGAGGGAAGGAGGGGGTGAAGGGAGGGCAGGGACAAGGGGAAAAAATGAGAACCAAGACCTGTCATGTAGAGGTACAAGATCCCAATGATGAATGTAACTGTACTGTATCCCTAAAATGTACCAATAAACTCAATAAAAAAAAAGTTCTGTATTAAAATCTCTGGAAGTGAGATCTGGGAGTCTATTTTAGAGTAGATTTTCTACAATCCTGATCCCAACAGACTTGGAGAAGCCTGGGTCTAGGCACAGGAGCAAGAGATGTTTTTCCCTTAGTGACCTAAGGACCACTCACTCTCTCCTAACTGCTACCGAGCGTGTCTGGATAAGACGTCCTGAGCTGGTGGTTTCCAGTCTTGGCTATGCACTAGATATACCAGGAAAGTTCTACTTCTCTCCAAGCCTGGGCCACAGTCTACACCCAGTGAGTCAGAATCCTGGAGGTCAGGGTCAGGCAGGGACACTTTTGCCACCTCCCAGGTAAACTCCACTGTGCATCAAAGGTGAGTCCTACTGAAATTTTATCCGCATGCAGACTGTCTGGGCCTCTCAGTGAACTGCACGTTCTCCTCCTGGGGGGTCTGTATTCCTAAACAATCCCCCCGGAGACCGATGCTGCGAGTCTGCAGATGACACTGAAAGAAGTCAGGCACAAGGATCTCGGTTACCATAAAAGGAGATTCAGCAACTCCTGTGCTTCGGTGCGACTTTCCCAAAGTAAAATCTCAATGCTGCCTGAGCGCGCAGATTGAAACCTAACTATGGAATCCTTTCCTCTCGTCCTGTGTTTCCACTTTGGGAAAATACTTTAAAAGGATCCTGCCTCATTGTCATCCATTTATGAGACAAGACATCCAGAAATATACACCTCTCTTTTTCTTTTCTTTTCTTTCTTTTTTTTTGGTACCAGGGATCAAACTTGGTACCTTGCAGTTGTGAAGCAGGCAGGGGAACCACTGAGCTAAATCCCCGGCCCGTGCAAATTTCTTTCTTAAAAAAAAAAAAAAAAGCAACAGAGCTGGGATTTAGCTCAGCGGTGTCATGCCTGCCTCACAAGCGCAAGGTCCTGAGTTCAAGGATACCTGGAAAAAAAAATAGGTAACAAAAGTGTATGGAAATGATTTGCTTCATTCACCTGATAATGACACAGATCTCGCTTTGATGATTAACACACACGGTTTAAAAATCAGCGGCATCCGTGAGCCTATTATTTTATTACCTCAATTCCACTTAATTGCATGTTATCACCTGCCTAATTTTAAATGAAAAAAACTTCCAATAGGTAAGTGCTTGCTTCTAATTCTGACAAATGTAACTGCTACTTACTTTTCAATCACTGTCAGGAGCTTGATAGTAGAAGGGATAAAAATCATCTTTTGATCAGTCAGGATTCCGTTCATCAGCTTGCTGACCACCTCCTGGGGCTCCAGGGTAGGTCCCAGACTGAAACCAGAGGCAGCCATCACACACAAAGCACCTTCCCGAGGCTTCAGCTGTGTTTGGCGCTGAGCAAGTGAAATGTGATATCACAGGGATCCTAACAGAGCCGACCAGTCAGCCAGCCCAGCAGCACACTCAGAAACGGGGAAGGGCCGGGATGGCACTCAGTGGCACTGCACCTGCCTGACAAGCACAAGGTCCTGAGTTCGATCCCCGATACCAAAACACAAAACAAAAAACAAATGGGGAGTTACTGTTCCATCAGTAACCACAGCAACCATTTATTTAGTATTTACTGGGTCACATACACTGTGGTAAACTTTCTACTCAGGCTGTCCCATCGATGCTTTTATAACAACCTAAGAAGGTAACAATATAATCCTAGTATTACAAATAGGAGCTCTGGAAGTAACCAGGACTAAAAAATAATTTAGCTAGTTTGAGACTAACAAGCTCACTCTCAAACATTCAGCAGTCCTGGGGAAGAGTCAGATCCCAGCATACAAGGATTATTATCTTCATTAAATAACACCTGTCTGTCATCAGAATTAAAATGATAGTTGTGTCTCTCGCTCTAGATCCTAGATGCCCACCTGGACATCTAAGGATGTGAGGTCCTGATTTACTCTTTAGCCACGTTAATTACTTTGGTGCCACACCTTTGATAGGTCACTGCCCAGGTCCATGTACCATAAACTAGCTAATAAGAGGCAGCTAAAAAAGTGGTTTTTAAAACCTGGGTGTTAGTGAACCTAGGGAAGAGATGCACAAGAGTGTTTGTCCTCAGATTTTTTTGTTTGTTGGTTGTTTGGTTGGTTTTTGAGACAGTCTTGCTATGTAGTTTAGGCTGGCCTTGAACTCACTATGTAGCCCAGGCTGGCTTTAAGCTTGTGGCGATCCTCCTGCCTCAACCTCCTGAATGCTAGCATTATAGGAATGGGACATACCTAGCTGGTCCTGTCTTTAACCAGTTTTTTAATCACTTAGGAAGAAACTCTCCTAAATTCATTTTATAAGGTCAGAATTACCCTGATACTAAAGTCAAACTAAGATGCCCCAAGAAGAGCACAGACCCAAATCTCCATTGAATAGAGAGACAAAAATCCTCAGGAAAATATGAGCAGATTAAACCTAACAATATATCAAAACCGTGACAGAGTGAGGTTTATCCTTTAGGAATAAAGTGGCTCACCATACCAAGAACAATCCACACAGTAGATCGTTTTAATAAAATGAAGGAAACCTCCACACGATCATTTCAGTAGGTGCGAAGGATCAACAAAACCCATGATAGAAACACTTAATCTGGGGATAGGAGGGAACATCCTCAGCCTGACTTGTGTTAGTCTCTAAGGCAGTCTGATCTGTATAAGCAGAGTGGAATAAGGCTTACTGTAGGATTTATCAAACATGGAAGATGACTGCCAGCCTCTCTAAGAAGCCAAATACTTCGTTAATGTCATATCCAAGCTCCGGCCTCTGTCTTTCATTTCCTGTCATGAGGTGAGCAGTTCTGTCCCGTGAATTCCATCCTGGGGTAGCTGCCTTGCCACAGGCCTCAAAGCAAAGATCACGGAAAGCTCCGAAACTGTGATTCAAAATGAACCTTTTAAGCCAGGTGGGGTAGCCCATGCCTGTGATTTCAGTACTCAGGAGGCTGAGGCAGGAGGATCACGAGTCTGAGCCCCGCCCAGATTGCACAGTGAATCCAAGACCGGTCTGGAATATACAACAAGATCCTGTCTTGAGTAACAAACAAAACGAAAGAAACTTTTCTCTTTATAAAGTGATTACCTTTAAGGTTTCAGAACAGTGACAGAAAGCTGACTAACACAGAGATTTTTCTTAAAGAGTTGTTCCAGGATTTAGAACAGGAACAGTCCAGCTACAGATTGGAGGTTAGAGAAAGTTTATATAAGGCATATAAAAGGGTTTCTGGAACTTATCAGGTTGTCAATGAATACTTTAAATAAACTATTGATAGCCAAGTTTAGTTAAAAAATAATTCTTCCTTTTCAGAGCACCAGGTTATGCTTAATTCTCATAAATTCCAATTATACTGTATTATAGTCTTTTTGGGAATCCGGGTCTCTTTGCAGTGAGTTAGATGTGTAAACGTAAGCACCAATAAGTTTTGTGGCTGTCCTCTAAGAGAGAAGTTAAATCCCAAGATTACTATGAAACAAACTATTTCCAATTCAGCCCTTTCGAGCTTGGCTCAATTTTCTTCCCCAGAAATTTAGCTCTGAGTATCTTGGGGCGAGTTCGGTTGCTTTGGGGCCTCGTTCTTTAGTTGCAGTAATGGAGTTTTGCCAAGAGAGGGCGCGCTTGCCTGGTACAGCCTGTCCTGGCCAGGTAAAACAATTCAATAAAAAATTTTAAAAATATGGCATATGTTTTTAACCCCGGAAAAACAGACTGAATTAAAGAAAAAGAATGACACCTAAATATGAAAACAATAGAGAAAACTGGCAAGTTTTGTCTTCAAGTTTTACGGAACTCTTCATTCTTACTACTCCTCTTTAACTTAACCCTAAAAGCATATTTGTTCATTTTCTTTTCCGTTCAGGGTCCAATTAGATTTTTATTGCTCAAAATAGATGAATTTAAGCACTGGCCTTCTTCTTCCCTTTTATTTTATTTTTTGTTTATTTTGAGATGGAATCTTGCTATGTAACTCGGGCAAGTGTCAAACTTGTACTCTCAAGTGATCCTCCTGCCTCAGCCTCTCCAGGGTTGGGACTACAGGAGCACCTGCTATACCTGGTTTTACTCTTACTTTTGCTTTCTAACAAATCTGGGTCTCAAAAATCGATGTTTAGGGTTACAGAGGGAGTTAGGATGGTTCGATTTAGGCGTTCTCAACTTGGTTACGGACATGCATTCAGTACAAACCGCGCTTCAAGCTTGAATTTTGGCTTCCCCAGGGCTCACGAGTGCCACGCGGCACGCTAATGTCCCACTCCGCCACACAGCCACGGTCACAGGGGAAAGCAGTGCACACTGCTAAGAGACAAAGCTTCGTAGGCGGGGCCTGTTCTGTGCATTTCCACTCCCAGTATTTTCAATTTACAGTGGGTTTCTTGGGCTCTAATCCCATCCTGAGCTGGGGGCATCTGTTTTTGACAGATTCTTGGGTGCCTGAGATTTTTGGAGAGCTCCCGGTTTTCTGCGGATGTTGGCTTTCCGGCTGGCCCACCTGTGGGTGACTTAGGCTAAAGTGTAAGTATTTAAAATACAACCTGCTGTCCCCCCAGGGGGCCAGGCTGAAGAGCTCTCCTTAGTTTCACATATATTTTCACCGAAAACAGCTAAACTGGCAGAGGGATGAAACCTTACATCTTAAACATTGAATTTCAACAGTGCAATGGGATTGAGAACCCAAAAAGTACACCCACGGAAGTATATGAATGTATTATGGTACACGTTTTAGATCAGTGAGGGAAGTAATGTATTATTTAACAAATAATGCAGAAAAGCTCATTAACTAAAGCATTCTATCACTGAGCTGCACCCCCGCAATAACCTCCTTTCTTTAAGTAAATTTTCATGAAGCAAAAAAACTCAAATGTAAAAACCACAATCATAGAATATATCTACTTGTACTTTCTCATTTTATTTTCTCTCACAATAGTTCTTTTACAGTGCTCAACCCCCACAAGATGAGTGGGAAATAAGACCAGCAAATATTTTCTTTAGGTTGGTATGAAAAAGATCTTTCTAAATACCTCCTAGAATGTAAAAGCCATGAAGGAAAAAAATATTTTTAGAAATTTTAATCTAAAATAATACTCATAGGGGCTGAAGATTTAGCTCAGTGGTTTGGTGGTCTGCCTTGCAAGCGCAAGGACCCGAGTTCAATCCTCGGTACCAAAAAAAAAAAAAAAAAAAAAAAAAAACAGTCATAAAGGTAATAGCACATTGGGTAAATATATATATACGCAACAGATGTGAAGGGGTATACTGAATGGACAAATAGCACTTCTGAGTTCATTTACAACCTCTATAGCTCCATAGAAAAAAGGGAACAGGGCCAGGGATTTAGCTCAATGGTTCCACTGCCTGCCTAGCAAACTCAAGGTCCTGAGTTCGATCCCAGGCACAAAAAAGAAAAAGAAAAAGGGAGCAGACCATGAAATAGGCAATGTATATAAAAAGTCAAATGACCACAAATCATATGCACACACATTAGCTAGACATCAGTCATCAGGCTGTAAATAAAGAGGATTTTTTTGCATGTTGTATTGGCAGTAATTAAAACACAGCAGAAGTCAGACTGGTAAAGAAGTATGGACTGAGAGCCACTACCCCAAATCAGTAAAACATTGGCTGGGGGGAGGGTGCAGGTTGGATGCACCAGGACATTTACAACTGTGTATCCTTTGATGCAGAAATGGCCTTCCAGGAACTATCAGAAGGAGACAATTATCTGGATGGGAAAATATCTATGCACACAGGATGTTCATGATAGCTTTGCTATGACAAAAATCCAGAAAATTAAAAATAACCCTAAAATTTTCACCAGAGGACACCATATTGTTTGTTGTTTGCATTCAATAATCAGTAAAACTTATGATAAAGCTCTGTATTTTAGCAACATGAAAGGATCCCTATATCAGAATGCACACTGAATTATATTGATAAACCTCTGTATTTATTCATATGAAGAGATGTCCATGAAATAACACAGCAGAAGCAGTTTTTTTTACTGCCTCCAGACCCCATGAACAAATTGCAGTTATTAAAAAATGTAGACGTTTATTCTACACATAGAGATGACTAGACAGGTCTTTATAAAGGGCGGTTTCCATTAGATGATGGAAATTTGAAAAGAAACTTTCTAATTTGTATTTCTCTGTAATGTTGGGATTTTTAAAAGTATGCATTATGATTACAAATACACTAAAGTTAATCCCACAGAAAGGAAACATTAAAAATTACCCTCAGAGATGATCCTTGTTTTACTTTTAATCCAGCAAAACACGTGGTCTGGTGCTTATTTTAAAGGAAAACCTCTGCACGACCAAGGGGAACAGCTTTTCACACGCAGTCCGGACACCTACGATGCTTTCTAAACACAGTGTCCCAGGGCCCCTTCCCCCCCACTCTCAGGCCCTAGCCAAACCCAACGGGCCATGGTCTCTGGGATGGGGACTCAGTGTGTTTCCCAGGCACTCCTGACAACAAGTGTGTGCATGTGGGTCTGTGAAGGGAAAGGAAGGGGAATCAGGGCGGGTGAGCAAGTTCACCTGTCTCACTCATATATATTTGTACAATCATTCTCTGTCTTTCTTTCTTACTTTCCCCATCTTGCCATCTGTTTTCCCACAATCTAGCTGAAAGCAAAATGAACCAAGGGCAGTGAATATCAGGTGTTTGGAGGATTAAAATATTTAGGGAAACCCAAAGAATGACTGATACTCAAAGCAACCACCAATGCTTCTGTCTCTATTTCAGTCTCCACTTACTTGGTACCTGGATTTTTTATGAAGCCGGTGTTAATGAAATTCGGGCAGAGACAAGTTGTTTTGACTCCAGTTCGTTTTAAGGCAGCCAGTTCTTCGGTCAAAGCTTTGTGAAATCCAACAGCGGCAAACTTGCTGGAGCTGAAAATGAACAGGGAGTATGCAGACCGATTCAAGAACACTGACAGGCCTGCTTGCATTGACTCCTGCTTGGCTTAGTCAACATGGCCCTTGGGCCCAGTATGTGCTGTGCTCTACACTACCTTTGCTTCCAACCAAGTTAAGATGCAAGCGACAAACCAGTAAGCTGGTAAAAGCCTTGCAACGTCAAAGACAAGGATAAAGGTTAAAATATGGCCATGTACGTTAGGCTGAGGCCTGGTAGTGGACAACTGCCTAATGTGTTTGAGGCCCTGGGTTCTACCCCCAACATCACAAAAACGAAACAAGACAAATACAAAAAAGTTAACTTTTATGAATGAATAAGACAACTCTCCAATAAATACATGGCTAAGAGACATTAGCAGAAAACTCACAAAATAAAAATAGCAAAGCATAAAGCATTTATATCCATACATATAACATTTTTTAAATTTCAGGAGTAATTCCTATAAGTGCAAAGTACAACATAATAATATTTTTGCCTAGCAGGAATGGTCCGGATATCTGGCTATCTTGCTTTTCAATATATGGATTTTTATTTTATATAATTGAATCTACCAATCTTTTAAAACTTCAATGCAGGCATGTAAAAAAATGAAAAAAAAGAACTTTCCATTTCCACAGGTTAATAGTGTTTTCTGTAAGGCAACTCAGTGAAGGTATCAGGATAGTTCATTAAAACAGTGCCATGCTTTTTGACCTAGTGTTATCTCTAAATGTTTACCCAAGGAAATAGCCAATCGGAAGACTGAAGTTCAGGGGTAGCCCCTGAGGAATATTTCTCGAAGGGACCAGTTGGAGGACCTTAAATGTCAGCCCTCACTTGCTCATCAGCATTCACACCCCTTGTTCAGGTTACATCACCTATGCAAAGGATGCCATGCGATGCCTGAGAACATCCATGCTGGTCTGCTCTGGCCTGGCCACTGAGCTCCAGAACATTCAAAAGCATTCATGGGCTTGTAGCCCAACAGGGCTTGAAGTTGAAAGGATGTTAACTTGGGAATTGCTGGTGGCTGTCGTGCCACCAGAGGAAGACAGCCTAACTAGGACATTCATCACAGAGCCAGAAAAAATTTCTTTCCTCTTTTGGGCTGAGGTGGTTCAAGTTTGTTGTTCCTTCTAATTTAAAAAAATGTGTGTGTGTGTGTGTGTGTGTGTGTGTGTGTGTGTGTGTGTGTGCGCTACTTAGGATTAAACCCAGAGCCTTGCACATGCCAAACAAGCACTCTATCACTAAGCTACAACCCCAACTCAAATCAAAAGAATCTTGGTAAGGGCCCGGGATTTAGCTTAGTGGTTTCGCCACTTTCCCTGCAAGCACAAGGGCCTGAGTTCAATCCCCCATACAAAAAATAAAGAAAGAAAGAAAGAAAGAAAGAATCTTGATAAACAGTGTCCCCAAAATGATGAATAAATTTAATAAATGGAGGCACAGGAATTGAAAATTATATTTCACATATATTTTTGTTAGCATGCAAAACTTATTGCTTTTAAATGAAAAATGTGAGCTGATAAATGCAGATTTTTCTGAGGGGTGGCTGCATCTACATTTACGATTTTTCTCAATGCATGACTATATCTAAAAATCATAACAAATGCTTATTGTGGTTATTTCTGTGTGGCGAGGTTATCAGTATTTTTTTTCCACTGAATTGTATTTTTTGAATTTTCTTAAGTGAATCAAAAGTGCAGGGACACCTCAGAGTTGGTGATCTTGAATGTGTGAAAATAACAGTATATTTTTGATATTTAGAGTGAGACCATGTATGCCAAATGTCATTTTTTTCCTCTGTCTTTTATAAAACCATATCAAACTGTTAATTGTAAATGCTCTGAATTTTCATTTTTTATTCCAAATTCTTCATTCAAATAACATTTCTTTATAAGCTAAGGACTGGGATTCAGTGTGCTGAGTCTTCCTACATTGATAACTCTCATAAATGGGCTATTTGGATTGACAAAGCATATTAGTCAACTCATTATTTTCTTCTCAAAATCAAAGATACTGGTAGAAAAAATACTTAGCAAGCAGGAAAGACATTTTACAATCAAAAGATTTACCCTCCCTTACTATAAATTCAGGTAATGTTGTCCTGAATCTTTCATATCAATCAATAGAACTATTGAACTATATTTAACTCCAGAAAGAAACTGAAGTATTTTTTCCTAAAATAGATGGTAGACTGTAGTAGATTCTACTGCTGTGCACCTCGGAACAGTGCCCCCTCATTTGTATCCAACACGCAGGAGCTGGAACCTCTGTGATTAGTTCAGCACAGGCAAAGTGTTCCAGAAGCTGTGATGAGGGACGGGCCCAACCTCACTGTTTATGAGAATACAGGGAAGGAACTCAGTACAACAGGCCCCTTGTGCCATCTGTCCCCTCCAAACTACAGGCCAAGTGCATCCCACTGAGGTCCAAGCCCTATGGCAGGCTAACCCTGCAAGTTAGATGCCATTATTAATCTAATTAGGATTAGAGTAATCTAATCCATCCTTATGGATGAAGGAAATAGGCAATCAAAAGTTGAGTCACTTGCCTAAGTTCACACAGCTAGTAAGTGATTGGGTTGATATTCATAGCAGCCCTCTCTTGGAAACAATCCCAGTGTTGATAAACGGTAGACAGACAAATAAGTTATTACAGCCAAGTCACATGATGCAAAACTAGACAGCTGTGAAAATGATCAAACAATAGTGGCCAATAACAACACAGATTCATCCCATAAGAATAGTGTGTGCTATGAATATGAAGGTGAAAGTAGGCCAAAGAATTTTTTTTTTGGTACTGGGACTCGAACTTGGATCCTTGCACTTGCAAGGCAGATGGCTGAACCACTAAGCTAAATCCCCGGCCCAAAACAGGCAAAATTAATGTGTGGCTTTCCAAGTCCACAGGGTGGTTACATTTGAGAAGGCAGGAGGGGCGGGTGACTGGGAAGAGCTGAGGGGCTACTGGAGCTGGCTGTGCTGTTTTTGCCACTCCTTACATAGATACACGCATTTAGGAGCAGTTCAGGGCACTGGGGACTTCTCCGCTTATAAATATACACTATGCTTCAACATAAAGATTTGAATTTAAAGAGCAGGGTGTGAATTGAACTGCCCAGTCATTGAAAACTACATCTGATAAACATCACTTGCTGCCTGTAGGAATCTTAGTGTGTCTCACCGATCAGGTGTTTGGCAAACATCGGTGCCAAGTGAGATGAAAATAACTGGGGTGACTGAGGAGCCGGGCCAGTGAGGGTTCCAGAGAGCTCTGCACGGGCTCAGAACCACAGCTGCGTCCCTAAGCTGGATGGGTACAAACCATGTGTGTGGTTACCACGCTGGCCTGTTATCCCCAGTGAGACCCTTGTGTGCATTTTATTTGTCTTTATTTTATTTTTTAAACTTGGTAGATTTTTTCGAAATAAGGTCTTGCTATGTAGTTTAGACTGGTCTTGAACTCACTATGTAGCCCAGGCTGGCCTCCAACTCACAGTGATTCTCCTGCCTCAGCCTTAAGGCTGCTGGATTTACAGATGAGTGGAAACCAGGCCCTGCCCTTTTGTGAATTTTAAAAAGCCATGCCTCTTCTCAGGGTATCTGACCGCCACATGCTGGGAAAATCAAAGTCCAAAAGGACCAGACCAGGAATAGAGCAGCCTGGAGCTGTGTAGCGCACCCTTGTCACAACTGTGGGTGGCACCCTGCTTTGATGGTGCTTCCACAGAACCTTTCTTTCCCCTCAAATCGCCATCACCAGTCACCACAACCCACGTTCTTCCCACAAAGCGCTGCCTCTCTCCCGTATCCCGGAGAAATCCTCGGTGGAACAGATCCAGTCGGAACCCGCGAGCTGGTGTTAGGAGGGAAGAGGACGCGGCTTACCTGAGAGCTGGGTAACACAGACCGGAGCGGGCACGGGGTGGGATGCTGGGGCAGAGCCTGGCAGCAACACCTGAGCAATCGCTCATCAGGAAAGCGAAATGAGCTGCTAGGGCGAACGCTCCAAGTTAAACTGGGTCTGAGACCAACCAGGTATGGGGTGGGCACCGTGCGCCTTCTCTCTGGCTGCTTCTGCGAGTGATTTTTCTTTTCTTCTTATTTTTCTCTCCTCCTTCCCTCCCCTCCCTTCTTCCCCCCTTGCCCCGCTTTCCCACCATTTCCTTTCCCCTCCCTCTTCCTTCTTTCCTTCCTTAAATTCAATCCAAGTCTGTACTTTTTTATTAAGCTGAATAAAAACTTTAAAAAATGGCATTGGAGGTTGGAGCCAGGGCCTTCAAACTGAGCTGGATCCCCAGCCCTCTTTTCACTTTTTATTTTGAGACAGGGTTTCTCTAAGTTGCCCAGGCTGGGCTTGAACTTGCCGTCCTCGCTCCTGCCTCGTCTCCCAGAGTGCTGGAAGTACAGGCATAGAATTATTAGAAAACAAATACATGTTCAGAAGGAAACGATTCCCACGCTGTTTTTCTAATTTGAGTTTCAAAAGAACACAATGATAGAAAATAAATGTTGATAATACATTTACACATACATGTTTGCATAATTATAATTCAAATTTTTAAAAGGTCATTACTTGATAAAACATGAAAATAGACAAGAACTGCTAAATGTGCACAGTCAGAAGGATCACCTTGACTACCTAAGGTGGATTCACAAGCAGGTTTTCACAACCCATTTGCCCCAGTAACATTCTTGTGAGCTACTTGGGACAGCAAGTTCCTCAGTTCTACAGTGGCAAGCTTTAAAGAGTAGATAACCAGCCTGTCATGGTGGTGAACGCCTGTAGTCCCAGCACTCAGGAGACTGAGGCAGGAGGATCGCTGTGACTTTGAGGTCAGCCTGGGCTACACAGTGAGACCCTGCCTCAAAAAACCAGGGGAAAAAAATGAATAACCATTAATTTTTAAAATTCCATTGTTTGCTCTCCATGTTTAGAATACCAGATAACACACATGCACACACACATACACTCTTTCTTGTAGTTGCATTTCCACAAAATGTTTTCTGTTTTTATTAATAATAAAAATTACTGATTTTAATTTTATTCATGGTACAAAAACATTGTTCTTATTTGTAATTCCTCACTGCTCTGAGGGCTGAGAAATGCTTCAGGGCCTGGTTTAGCCTTAAGGGAGGATCTCCCTGCAGCCACCTTTAGAACTGGCCTGGGGTTGAAAGATAAAGAGGATTAACCCTGGGAGCTGTGGTTTTACAAGAGACTTTGAGCTCTGCTCAGTTTGGCAGCTCCAAGATCATTACCATGACAAAGAGCTCTAGGGAGACAAGGAAAGCGAAGAAACCAACCAGGAAGTATACACCGAACCCCACGTACCAGTAAGCCAGCAGAAAGGGGACCCCGGTGTGTCCAGCTGCTGAGGCCACCGTGACCACATGGCCGTGATTATTCCTCATCATCGCTGGGAGAAATGCCTTTGTAGTCTGGAATTTGTTCGTAGGGAAAGGAAAAAAAAAAAAAAGATAATGTTTCCAATTCACAGATTCATCTCGAATAGTTGGAAACAAAGTTTTTTTTTTTAAAGCAGTGTTCCTGGTATACAAAACCCTAAATTGCCACATGCATCAACAGAAGGCAACTGAGTCAGCTTACATTAGGAAACCGGAGCAGAGGAGCAACAGGGAGAGCTCTGAAAATGCAATCATCCCAGCTATCAAAAGAATTCACATCTAAGGAGAATTTATTGGAAAATTGTTTGGTTCTGTAACATCAACAGTGAAGTGAAGTGCAATCTTCCAGCAGTCACTAAATGTTTCCTGAACAATGATCAAGCACCTACAGTATGTGCTGGGGATCTTCAAACAAGACTACTGATAGCGGGAACCTATGAACAGAACACCATGGACCACAGACTGGCGCATTAACACAAAACAATACTGTATTGTCACCAGTCTCAATATTCCTTTGATACTAATTACTCCAAGCTCATACCCTAAAAGCTTTAAGGATTTTTTGGTTTTTGTATGAACTTGGTTATTTGGGAATTTTTTGGAGACTTGCGAAACACGGACTACCTATATGAAACTTAAGACCCTGAAAGATAAGACTCATAATACAACATGTAATTTTTATGCCAGGAATATTACAAGGCCTGAGTTTCATGAGAATTTGGAACTGGATTCACTTTGTGGTGTCACAGATGGTTTCTATTTTCTTTATGCCTAAATAATCACACAGATGTAAACACCTAGCTTAGAATTAAAACATACTCATTTGAAGTTTATCATTATTGGATTTATTATTTGTGTGTGTGTGACCACAGCACAAAGAAATGAAGTCTTTATATATGATGTTGTCATAGTCAGCTAAATTAGGTAAAAATAGAGGCAGTCAAACAGGGCTGAGCCCTGGAAGATGAGAACCCCTCAAAACTGTAGCTGGAGGCCCACCTGAAAAGGATTAAAACCACAACGGCCGGATTGTGATCCTTCTCCAAGGGACAAACAGAAGCTTGAGATTCTCAGCACCACCTTTTGGGCCGTCCTCTCTTACCCACTACGACTAAGACTACTAAAAACTAAAACTAAAGACTGAAGACTATAGATTACTGACATCCCTATGCCCATACTACTCTTGGATCACTAATAGCTGAGGGGCTACACTTGGAAAATCTTGGGTAGATTATAATTTTGACCCATGTTGTACCCACCTCGTAATGTGACTCTATACACTTTTCTCAGAGAAGCAGGCTCACTGGCAACCCATTCAGGGCCTTCCCCGCCTCTCAGGAGCTGTTCCTGCTCCCCGGCAATGTTTCCTGCTCTTAGCCTCTGTTGTTTGCTACAATTCATCCTTTAATTCAGGGAGCATGGATTTGGCCTGTCTGACATCTGGCAGGTGGGGAGTTAACATTTCCCCCCTCTACGTCAATGGTATCCCTGGAACCTAGAGAAAATTTTGCCATCAACTTAATAGTTTCTTGTCTGCTGAGAGCTCCACTTTCAACTTAATTTTCAGGCTTTCACGAGGGACTATTTTTGAAAAGAAAAAATGATCATACTCACCCAAAAATGTGCAAGGACATTGACTTCAAAAGTCTTTTCAATCTGAGGATCTTGAGTGGCAAATAAGTCTGATGTGTAGACCACACCAGCATTATTCACTAAAATACTAACGTCTCCGATTTCTGCTTTCACCTTTAAAAAGAAAAAAAAAGTAAAACATATTCATTAAGAGGTGTGATGGTAGATTTCCATGCAACGACTGAGAAAGTAGTCTGCATTTTTATCTTAGATGTGGTTAAAAAGTGGTTTTGTCACCTGTCTCCGCCTATGGAACAAAACCAAAGCATTTTTTTTTTAATCTTAGGTACTTAATATCTAACACAGCTCTGCCAGTTTACCAGGTAGACATTTTCTTTTGCACTTTCATCTCTCAACTTTGCTGTATTGATTGTAGCTCAAGAGGCATTTGGCTGGGCAGAATTTAGAATTTATTTTTTAAACACTACTTCAAAAGGTGAGCAAAAACAATGAAATCATTGGCAAATTCAGGACTATTCTGGAGAATTATGTAGAACTGACTACCCTATTGAGCTGGCCACATCTTCTGCTTCTTTATTTCTGTGTTTTCATGGTCACTGTTGTAAGACTTGAATAGGCTAAAGTGACTCCATGCCAATAGGCCAGACTGTGCTTCTTCATATGCTAATTGCTACCTTGGTTAACAGCCCGGCCAGGGGCAAATGGTTTGACAAAAGGTGACCCTAGAACATTTCCTGCATAAGATAAGCAATGTGTTTGCAGTCTTGTTCTGTGAATTCCCTGACTCTTTGTTTAGAAAAACCTCATAAAAAGTACCTCAGCCCCTGAGCTGTTGCCTCTCTGAGCTACCTGGCTCTGGGAGTGCCGTCTGGCCAGACTAATTAAGGTCTATTTACCATCTAGCCTGGTGTGTTCCTTCCCGGGTTTCTCGTTTCTCCGTCGAGCTCCCGGAGCCTCGCTGGGTATTAGGGCCCAACATCGTGGAGGCCTTTTTGGCTGTTCACTCTCTGTGGAGTGGAAGTGAGACTTTAAGTCTTACACTGTTCCACTGTTTCCCAGTCACTCCCCACTAGTGGCAGCTGCTGGCTTAGGGCTGAATTCATCCTAGGTTAGGGTGAGGTGCTTCCGTTAGCCTCGAGCTGGACTTTGAACAGTCATTTAACCTGTCCTACCGGGCGTGGTGGTGCACGCCTGTAATCCCAACAATCGGGAGGCGGAGGCAGGAGGATGGCTGTGAGTTCGAGACCAGCCTGGGCTACACAGTGAGTTCCAGGTCAGTCTCAACTACAGAGTGAGACCCTGTCTAAAAAAAAAAAAAAAAAATGTCCAGACTTCAACTGCTCCTCTTAAACAAAAGACAAGGGGACAGTTTGCTTGTGAATAATTGTGGGAACAGATGAAATGACTCAGGTAAAGAAGCTGAACAATGCTTTAAAAATGGTGTAGGTAAAGGAAGCTGCCACGATTACCATCAGTGCTGTATATCACTATTGTGCATGTTCATTTACACCTGTGTACAGGAAGGAACATGTTTCTTGACCTTCCAAGCTACCTGTGAGGGTAGGGAATATGGAAATAGAAATACAAGGTAAATAACATACGATTTCTATGTGCATGTTTTCCTAAGAATGTATTTATGGTATAGGCATGCTTTTCTGTTGACAATTAGATTTTCCCTTTGATATTAATTCAGAAGGAAGAACTTTTGAAAAGTCAAAGCAATCATGTGGAAGGCTTATGCAAGTCCTTATTGTCAAAGCAAAGGTCACTACACCTATCATAGGTGAAATGATTACAGTTCAGGAAATATGTGCAAAAGAATGGGTCTGGCCACCAAGAGCAATAAAAGGCAACTCTGAACTGTAAAGCCTAAAGAGCAAAGAATTATAGACAGTGCATTTTGTTTTCAAAATAATCACTCTATCTTCTCAACCCTAATGTAATCAGTAACTGCCCCCTTCAAATAATCTTTATGTTGTATTCTTTTGAGTCAGGGTCTCTGGCCTTGAATGCACTCTGTAGCCCAGACAGCCTTCAAACTCACGATCCTCCTGCCTCAGCCTCCTGAGTACTGGGATTACAGGTGTGCACCACCAAGTCCAGCTCAGATCATAGACTTTTGATGTTTAAACTCTACTGATGCAATGCACTGTGAGAATTAAGTGGGAGAAATAATCAAATCATGTTAAATGCACAACAAAGAATGAAAGCTTCTAAGAGGCTCTTTAGCGCCTTTCCTTTAGTCCCCCAACACAGGTGGCATTGTCTCTAAGTAATAATTGTCGAGAGAAGCTGGCTTTTATGTGGGACAAGGTGTTTAACATAGTACACTATGATTGTAGGGTGAATCCAACCAATAAGTTTAGTGCTATGGTTTGTGTTTGGAAGTCCCCCCAAAGCCTCATGTGGTCATAGGTGGGGCTGTTTCAGAGGTGGCTGGGTCTAGACTCTGTGATGCTGGGATTGATTCCTGGTGCAATGCTGGGATCCAGGGCACTAGGACTAAGGGGTGAGTGCTTCCCGACCTAAGTAGCCTAGATAAGATGTAAGGAACAAAAAGAGCTGTGGTTATCCCTTTTTGTTTTGTTACCTCTGCCTGCCATAAACTGTTTCTCCTCTGTGATGCCACCCTGCCTCGGGGCCAGGCAATTATGGACTGAAACCTCTACAAACAAAAGCTAAATAAACCTTTTCTCCTTTAACTTGGAGCGTCAAGTATTTTGTCTCTGCAGTGAGAAAAGTAACTAAGACACTTATTTACTCAAAGAAATGTAAGCAGGTCATGTGTTGCTATCCCTTGGGACTGTGGCATTTCAGTAATCCCAGGGTGTTGATTTCTGGCTTGATTCTTTCTTAATAAATGAAGCAAGCTGGTGTGCACTTAGCTGGCATAAGATGTCTAAATAGCTACTTGAAAATATCTGACCACAGGTCCTTTTCTATACTCTGTTTAAGCGTATAGCTTTGGGACAATTTCAGCAAAAATACTATACTAACGGTATATGGAGTAGGTTAAAATAAAATTGTTTTCCCCAGGACATCTTATTCCCAGATGAGTATGGAAACAAATATTTTTCATTTAGCTAACTAGGGATGTTGGACCAGTTTTCCCTCTAATAATACCTAAAAGTAAAATTATATAAATACTTTTGGTAGTTCTAGTACAATGTTAATACAAGGCAGTTATCACGGCCAGGTACTGAAAATACTCTAAACCCCCATTAATAAGCCTATGAAGTGGGGACTGCTATGATTCCTATTTCCTACCTGAGTAAACTTAGACACAGAGTTGAGGAACTTGTACATCTAAGAATGACTGGAAGAGCACAATTCGAACCTGGCCATCCAGCTCCTGATCTTAATTATGCAACACGTTCATCTGCGTGAAGGTTAATCATTGTGAATTTCAGTAAAAAACCTTATTTATTTATTTCTTTCTTGGTACTGGGGATTGAACTCAGGTCCTTGCACTTGTGAGGCAGGCGGTGGAACCACGGAGCTAAATCCTAGGCCCAAAATGTTCATTGTTAAATACAGGTGTTTCCTGCCCACAGCTCTTGCTTTTGCTGTATGCCCTCCCAGGGAAGATGTTTTATATACTTCGCATACCTAACTTCTCTACCTAAACGTTTTTTTTTTTTTTTAACTTAGCTCAGGCCTCAAAAAAATGAAGAGGAATCTGATTGAAATAAAAAAACTAAAAATTTAAAATAGAAGTTAAAAATAAACCCAAATCTGAAATTCCCTAAACAAAGAGGTTCTCAAGTCTGTTTAGATTAGAACCTTTATACCTACTGAATCAGAATGTCTAAGGTTGAGGTCAAGGAAGTTGTATTTTAAAGAATTTGCCTAAAACCAGGTCTGGTGGTGCATGCCTTTAATCTCAGCACTTGGGAGGCTGATGCAGGAGGATCGCTGAGTTTGAGGCTGACATGGCTTCATAGTGAGTTGAAGACCAGCTTGAATTGCATAGTGAGACCCTATCTCAAACAAAACAACAAAACAAAACAAAACAAAACAAAACAAAACAAAACAAGATTTGCCTAGATAATTCTGATGACCTTCCTTCCACTAAGGTAATATTTAGTTAACATGTACAAGTGAGCACACATTCAGAACAAACCTCACTACTTAGATTACAGTTTGATGGTCCAATCACACTTTCAAGGAGTAGATCTATGATGAAATAAAAAGATAAAGAAAAAGAATAGGTGTACCCTGACTTTCCAACTCAATTCTTTGGGCTTCAGAAGACCTTGCAAGTGACTTCCCAAGTGTCATTCCAGGGTGTCCGCCAGTGCCAGCAGCATGGGCCATGAGAGGGTGGTGTATGCAGGCCCTGCCCTTGACCCCTGCAAGCAGACCTCTGGGTTGAGGCTCAAAACTGTTTTCCCCATGCTCCCTGGAAGGTTCCAAAGCAAACACACTAATCCCTGAGAATCTCAGCTCCAGGGTCACACCCTGAGTCTGCAACTAGTTAGATGCACCTTGGGAAAAATCACACAATTCTCAGTTGCGCTGTCTCCAACACCCACTCCTAAAACCTCCTGGTTCTAACATGAGGGGATTCGAACTGAATATAAAAGCTCACCTTCTTTGCAGAGCTGTAGATATCTTCTCGGACACTGCAGTCGACCACAAAGGCATGAGCCTGGGCACCCAGTTTCCTGCATTCGGCTGCTGTTTCCTCAATGCCATGCTAGAAGCAGTGAAGAGGGCATGAGACAAAATCAATGACAGGGCCACAGCACATGAGCAGCTGCAGATAAAGTAGGAAGGACATAATGTCAGAAGAAAGATTATAGCTGGACACGCTGGGGCACACACAGAACCCCAACTGCACAGGAGCCTGAGGCAGGAGGATCGCAAGCTTGTGCCCAGCCTTGGCAATTTAGCAACTTTTTGTCTCAGGGAAAAAAAAAAAGTATGCTATTTATGAAAGGATTTAGCTTAGAGCAAAGGCCCTGGGTTCAATGACTGGCACTCCTAAATAAATATTAACTTCATGAGGTACTTTATTTGGATGAATTGAACATTACGTCTCTCAGATGCTTTCATCTGAGGAATCTGTCCCTAAATATTTGCATTAAAATATGCAAAAGCAGGGCCTGGGATTTAGCGCATTGGCGCCACAGCCTGCCTTGCGAGTGCAAGGTCCCTGGCACACACACGCGCGCACACACACACACACACACACACTATAAAAAAGCCAAAAGGCAAAATGTCATATTGGTCAGCAGGAAATTATTCTGATAAATGTGGTAGGAAGAAACATCAGATTTGTTAACAAGAACTTGTCCTGATTTGCACAGTAAAAGGGAATTGAGGTGGATATGGTGTTCCCAGCACTTGGGGAGGCTGATAAGGAGGATTTCTAGTTCAAGTTCAACTTGAGCTATGCTGTGAGGCCCTATCTCAAAAAGCAACAAAAGAAGGTGCAGGGGAGGCGGTGGAGTGGGAGTGAATGCGTTTTCCAAACTGCTGGCACCACATGCAAATTCAAGCCATAGGAGTCCAGCATATCACAACAGACTCTTGTGGTCTTGCACTTTGCTTTACATTTGCTCCAGCAGCACTTGCCTTCTGGGTGTGCTCACCAAGGGCTGATGCACATGGAAGTCGGTATCATGCAGTTAACCTGAGTACGTTAGGAAGCAAGAGGGGGTTGAATGTCAACATAAGCCGCCATGAATGAGTCAGATGAACCTGAACCGTGTGTTGCAAACTAGGCAGCAAAGTTTGGGCAGAGCTGTGGCCAAACATTTCTAACAACCAGAAGCTGGTGGGTAGGTTTTGTATAACCCACGGGGTGGTACTATTTGTCTTTAACCCACAGGGACAAACTAGTCAATGGATCCTTTCATTTAACCCATTGTACTCAAATCATTACCATTTTGATACCCAAAAATTACTAGTGTAAGGCCGGGTGTGGTGATGTAAACCTATAATGCCACTGCTCAGAAGGCTGAGGAAGGAGGATTGCCATGAGTTGAAGGTCATCCTGGATACATAGTGACTTCAGGGCCAGCTGGAATTATATCATGAGACCATCTTTAAAAAATTACTAATGTAGTATTCTATATTACTTTTTTATAGTTTTTGAAATCCAGGGGAGTATTTCTACCCACAGCACACCTCGATTCAGACCAGTCAGCTGCAAGTGTTTAGAGCCACTGGGCCGAGAGCCTACTACCTACTGGGACAGCTCGGTTCGCATCTTTCACTTCCCTAACTCTGTCCCAGGCCAGGTTTTGTATCTGCAGGCCTTCCTCTACAGACAACAGAGCATCTTCTGATTTTTTTTCTTTCTTTTTACTGACACTGGGGATCGAACCCAGGTCCTCTGCACTGATCTACATCCCCTACCCTTTTCTACTTTTTATTTTGAGATGGGTTCTTGCTAAGTCATCCAGCCTGGGGTTCTCCTGGCTCACTCTGTCAAGCAGCTGCAGACACAGATGTGCACCACTGCACTTAGCAACCTCTGCTCTTACCTGTCTCTGCTTTTTATTTTTACTTTTAGTTTTTGTGGTGCTGGGGATGGAACCCAGGACCATATACATGCCAGGCAATTGATCACCACAGAGTTACACCACCAGCCTCTCTTCTCCCTGTCTTAATAAGGCTTTCCCCGGACACCTGGAGTTAAATGTTCTCACCCCAGTCCTCCCCACCACACACAGTCCCCAGGCTTTCTAGCGTCTTACTTCCTTCTTTATACGTCACGCCCTCCACCATTTGCATATCGTATTATACAGCGTCCTTCACTTGAGGTCTGCGCTTCTTCCTGGCTGTAGCTTCAATTCTGCACTGGGGCAGGGCCAGGCACACAGGAGGTGGTCAAGGTATTCGTGGGCAGGTACCCTTCTCTTCAGATGAGAGGAAATGCACAGGCCAGCCTTAGGCACAGGACCCAATGACTCGCTGTCTAGGAAGCACAACTAACACCGTCCAGAATTTAGCATGAACCAGACATGGTCTCATTTATGTGGTGCATGATCTTGATTCTTCCTCCTGGCTTCCCAAGGCAGGTACTCTTATTTGGTCCACCTTGCAGAAAGGAAGCTAAAGCTCAGGGAAAGTTAGTTACCCAGTTCAGAGGTGGATTGCCCTGAGTCTGACCACAACACCAGGCCCCAACTTGGCCACCAGGCTGGGCTGGGTCTAGTTTTTATCTTTCATTGCACGAGTAGGTACTTAATGTCTACTTTCTCCACTACATAGACCCTGTCTCCACAAGGGACCCTGTCTCCTGTCTGCCACATTTTCCCTAGGGTCAAGGCAACAGACACTCAGTATTTGCTGACTGCCGTCTCCACCAACCACTCCTTGGGGTAGCGCTCATCCACCTTGAGTTCTTGTTTATGGGATTGGTTGTCGACTCGTACCAGGAGGATGGCATTTCAGGCCACTGTCCCTTCCAGACACCCCTCTGTTCATCCACCCAAGGTCAAATAAAAGGTTAGATTCTAGGTCTTCCCCACTTCCTTAAGCCCGCATCTATACCTGACCTGGGCAAAAAATTACATTGCAGTTCTTTTCCTTTCCTTTTTATTGTTTTTACTAAAAGATGCTTTCCAAGCCAAGTAGTGGTGCGTACCTATAATCCCAGAACTTGGGAAGCTGAAGCAGCAGGATAACTGTGTTCAAGGCCAGCCTAGGCTACATAGAGATTGTCTCAAAAAATATATATATATAAAAGATGATTTTCATATATTACTATTGGCAATAATTACAGCATAGTGTGGCTTTCTGTTGGGTACAATCTTTAAACTATTGATCTGTAGTAGCTGCAAATAGGACTTGGGAAAGAGCCTTTTACACTTTTGAAATACTCATTAAAACTATTACTTTTCCCATACGGTTAAGATAGGGGGTCAACGAAACCAGGAGATTACAAAGGACGTTCCGGGTCCAAGTGCGAACGAGTGCACAATGTAATTTGAGGGTGGGCAGTAACTGGGAATCTACATCCGCTCAGTGCGTTCCTCAGGTGTCTCGAAACATACTAACTAACCGCTGCCCCACCGGTACAGCGGCAATAGTAATTGTCTTCCACCTTCACAGGGATGCAGTAAGGGGTGGTTGCCAGCAAAATGCGGCCGTGTCTGCGGACCAAGGCAGCGGAAAGGAAAGCACAGTCAGCTCTGTTACCTTATTGATATCCCAGAGAACCAGTTTGCTTTTACGTTTGGCAAATTCAAAGGCAGTGAGTCTCCCAATTCCACTTCCAGCTCCAGTGACGAGGACGATTTCTCCGGTGACTGATTTTTTCTTCTTCGGAATGAAAAGCTTAATGAGAGACTCGAGGCAGAAGATGAGGAACAGGGGCAGGAGCAGGAGGGTGCTCAGAAGGAACTTCATTTTGCTGCGGGCCAGCTCAGCCACGTTTCTTTCCGGAAGGATCACTGAACTGGACTCTCAAGGCCGAGGGTTAAATACCCTCAAGCGACCGCAAGGAAGGGCTTCTCTCACGGAAACAAACAGCGGGACAGCTCCTTCCGCAGGGCGGGCTCCGCTCGGTGCCTACCATTGGCTGGGCCGCAGCGCAGCGCCCTGGGGACGGGACAGGGAGGGGACAGAGGACGGGGAGGGGACCGGAGGGACCAGTCCCGCGCGCCCCTGCGGGGACCGACGTCCCAAGTCAGAAGCCCTTTGATTTTCTTAATCAGGCAGATCCACGGCTCTGGAAAGGTGAACTAATCGCGTACAAGTCCGGGGGCTGCCTGCAAAGTCTCAGCAGCCCCTCGGGAGATAAGGATGCAAATGCAGAGTTCTTGCCGGGCTCGGAAAAAGCCAGTTGTTCTGCTTCCTGGGAAGAAATGAGTCCACCTCACTGATCAGTTTGAATGAAGCACGATTTCTGGAACCCAGGAAATTCTGTCCTCTCAAAGCTAGCTGTAATCAAGTTTTATTAGAACTGGAAGCAACAACAACAAAGCATGTATTCCACTGTAGTAATTGTATCTCTACCCTGGCTAATGAATCACTTTTCAGCTAAGTGCAGCAAGGCACATCTGTAACACCAGCTACTCAGGAAGCCAAGGCAGGAGGACGCAAGTTGGACTTCAGCCTGGGATATTTAGCGAAACCCTGTCTCAAAAGGAAAAACAAATATGGCTGGGGATGTGGTTCAGAGGTAGTGTCCCAGTACCAGAAGAAGAAAAAACAAACACTATCCAAACTGACTATACACAAAGGCTTCACACCTGATCGCCTATGAGAGAGTTTGGGTTTCATCATCTGTCTGTACCTGTGCACGGGCACCTGTGTCTGTACAGTGGCTATTCTACATAAATTAACCCCTGATTTGAAAATAAAATCTGCCTGGAGGTGTAACTCAGTGGTAGAGCATTTGCCAGCACGCTAGAGGTCCAAATTTGGATCACAGACACTGGTTGCTGTGTGAAGCAACTTAAGAGGAGAGTTAGGAGATCAGGCCTGGGACCACAGGACAAACACTGGGTGGGATGTGCCAAAGAGCCTAAAAACCTAGGGGACATTCATGGAACACAGGACCCAAAAGGACTCCAGGCACCTGAGGACTGACTGGAACTAATCAGAAAGTGGCATTCTCAATCTCTTGTTTAAATCTGGAGCTGTTCGGCAGATCCAAGCAGAAAAGTGCTGTTTTCAACCCTTCCTTTACATTTGGGAGAAGCCAGGCCAGTCTTTCCATAGGGCAGTTCAGGTCTGACCACGCTCCCAGGCCAGGCAAGTGTTTGATGGGATAACTGTCCCAGTGCTTCATTTGCTTGGGGTGGGGAGACAACCCGAGAATTTTGAATGAAGTCCCCATCCCATTCCCTTTGCTCCTGTGAGCTTTCCCTGGCCCACTCTACTCCACCCACTCCTACTCCACATAACACCTCTTTCCCCCTTCAGAAAATTTGCACCTTTTGTACCTTGTCAGTATGTCTTGCTCAGTTCTTTGTTCAGGACACCAAGAATCTGGAAGGGATCCAAGGGGCCTCCCCCCCAGTGCCATTTCTGCTAGTGTGCAGCAAGAGATTAGTAATTGCCTGGTTCTGAATTTTTTTTTTTTTTCAATTGCATTGTAGAAAGCTATTAGATTTTGACCTTGTGGAAGACACTCTAGCGCCTGGGAAGAGACTTGGAGGGCATGAATAACCATCCTTTATACTCAGGAGGCAGAAAAATCACAGTAGTCACTCAAACCCACTTCTCCCCCTTACTTAAGGAGCCTGCCTTGTTACTGGGGATGAAGTAAGATAGAAAAAATAAAAATAAGTGGCAAGAAGGCAAGGAAAATCACCACTAAAAGTAGTACTTTTAAGAAAACTGCTACTTCTGGGCCTCAATTCAAGTCATCCAAGGCATCAGTTTCTGCACTCTCTTGGTTACGTTTAGGCTCCTCCCCTGTCAGATCCATCCCACTCAAAATTCCTCAGGAATGCTGACCTGCCAGAGTTTGGGTTAATTGAGCGAGAGCAGCAATTTGAGGTAAAAGTGCAGGTTGCAAGAATACAAAAAATGCTTAAATTACCTGCCTTAAAAAAATAAAAACTGGGCCCATAGCTGCTAATTGGCTCAGTACCTTCTGGAGGGTGGGCTGTTTTTTCTTGGGATTCCCACTTCTCAAGAGAAGCCTATGTGCCCCTTATTCCAGGAAATAAGGCGTCTCTCTCTTTGAAGGATCCATGCTCTCTTTCTCTGAGTACACACTTTTGGATTTGTACCTAATAAAGCCCTACCTTTGCCTCTTACTGAGGTGTTCCGAAAATTCTTTCTCTAGGACCCAAAGGCAGCAAACCTAGCCTATGGGTAAGGTGGGCTTGGGTCTTAATTTCTGCTTCTGGAACCTCCTTGGCCCTGTCTGACAGCCCCACAAAAGTACAGCTCCACCACGGGCTTCCTCATTGCATTCCCAGTGTTGTTTTCTAACCCTCAAATCCATGCTCCTGATGGTAGGCACACTGGTACAGGAAGTTTAGTTTCTCAAGTTTTCTTCCATATATAGCATTTATTTGATTTTCAAAAGCCTCCTATGAGGTAGAGATGAAAAATATTTATATTTGAATTTTGTAAATGAATAAGTCAGTTGGGTTGACTTTTATGAATTTCCACAATAAGTAAAGGCATAAATGGCACTTAGACCTATGGTCAAAGGTGTGGCATCAGTTTTTGCTTCATTTTGTTCAGATAAGATCTTTCTTTGAACTAACTATGTAGCTCAGGATGTCCTCAAATTTGTGGCAATCCTGCCTCGTTCCCCCCAAGTGGTGGGATTATAGGTGTGCACCACCTCAGCTGGCAGCGCTGGTCAGGTTTTTGCCCAACGACTACAGAAAAAAATTATATTTTACATTGTGATCAAGTATATGTATATTTATTTGTTTGTATGTAGACTTTCTGTAGGAGCCTGACTGAACCAGAGCGACTCCATGTTGACCAGCAAACGACCTAGAGACTGTCGCTCCCCCCATCCCTTATAGGATAACTAATGATTAATTGTGAATTGTTAGGTGGCTGTTTTGGAGTAGCTGGGAAACTAGGTGGAAACTGTAGTGAACACAGAGACCCAACGCAGGTCACGCCACTCCTTGCATGCCTGTAGTCTGAATGTTCTGAACTTTATGATGATCTAGGTTGTAAATGGAACAATGGATAATCACTCTGCTGATCATTAGTACGTGACGACCACTAGCTCAGATCAACTGACTCTTTGCCTTTGTCCTCTTCCTGTAAGTTTTAAGTGTAAACCCCCCTTCAGCCCTATATAAAATGGCCTCTGTTTCTGAGCTAGCCGCCTCTCTGAGCTACTTGGCTTGGGGAGTGCCGTCTGGCCAGACTAATAAAGGTCTATTTGCCAACTTGCCTGGTGTGTTCCTTCCTGGGTGACTCTCGCTGTGCGACAAGCTCCTGGAGCCTCGCTGAGCTTCTGAGCCCAGCATCGTGGAAGCCTCTTGGCTGTTCATGCTCCAGGAGTAAAAGTGAGACTTAAGTCTTACACTTTCTATATATTAAAACTCTGCCTCTGCTATTTCCTATTCTATTTTTATGAAAGTATTACAAAACTGAAAGAGAGGCATGGTGGTGTACTCCTATAATCCCAATACTCAGGGGGATGAGGCAGAGGGATCACCACTGTAAGATTTAAAGTCTCACTTCCACTCCACAGAGAGTGAACAGCCAAAAAGGCCTCCACGATGTTGGGCCCTAACACCCAGCGAGGCTCCGGGAGCTCGACGGAGAAACGAGAAACCCAGGAAGGAACACACCAGGCTAGATGGCAAATAGACCTTTATTAGTCTGGCCAGATGGAACTCCCAGAGCCAGGTAGCTCAGAGAGGCAACTGCTCAGGGGCTGAGGTATTTTTTATAAGGTTTTTCTAAACAAAGAGTCAGGGAATTCACAGAACAAGACTGCAAACACATTGCTTATCTTATGCAGGAAATGTTCTATGGTCACCTTTTGTCAAACCATTTGCCCCTGGGTGGGCTGTTAACCAAGGTAGTAATTAGCATATGAAGAAGCACAATCTGGCCTATTAGCATGGAGTCACTTTAGCTTATTCAAGTCTTACACCACAAGTTCAAGGCCAGCCTGGGCTACATAGTAAGTTCAAGGCCAGCCTGCACCACAAAGTAAGACCCTATATCAACCCCCTCCCAAATAAAATAAAATAAAATTAGATAAAAAAATTTAAAACCCAGGACATTTTAACTCACTAGTTTGGCCAAGGTTTCACTAGTCTGAGGAAAGAACCCAGCATTTGGAAGCAGTCCTACTTGGGGTGTATATGATTCATCTTTCTGAATATCTGTATCCTAATTTGTGAAGTTGGAATATTATTAGTACTTTGCAGGATTTCTGTGATGTTCATAGTGCTTTAATCCATTCATTTCTACATGAATTAGAAGTAATACTAATATCATGTGAAAGATGCTAATACTCTTCTAAAGGTGGTTATAAATGTGGATGGTTTGGTGCATGACAATTAGCTCTTTTTTTTTTTTTTTTTTTTTTTGGTACTGGGGATCAAACTCAGGCCCTTGTGCTTGTGAGGCAGGCAGCTGAACCACTAAGCCAAATCCCCAGACCACAATTAGCTTTTGACACAGTGGTAAAACATGTGATTTCTTTTTTCTGGTACCAGGAATCAAACTCAGGACCTTGTGCTTGTCAGGCAAGCACAGCTCCACTGAGCTACATCCCCAGCCCAGAAAATATATGATTTTATACATATTATTATTGAGGGCTGGGGATGTAGCTCAGCAGTTCAGTGGCCTACCTTGTAAGCACAAGGACCCGAGTTCAATCCCCGGTACCAAAAAAAAAAAAAAAAACCCAAACAAAAAAAACCAAATAATATTATTATTGAGGTTATACATATATATTGAGGTTCCTAAATGTACTTTAAATTAGGAGCCTTTAACATATGTTATTCATGGGCATCTTTTTTTTTTTTTTTTTTTTTTTTTTCCTGCTATTGAGCTACATCCTGGTCCAAGGCATCTTAAAGTGATGTTATCTTCCAGGCTGTTTGTGTGTGGGGGGGG